TTTTCCTTCCTAAAGTGATTCTTCATTACTGTCCTACCTGTGTCTGTCTGCTTTGTGGACCATGAATTAGGAAGATGTGGGTTCAAGCCACACCTCAGATGTTTGTTTACTAGCTGTGTGACCTTGGGCAAATCACAACCTTTCTGGGTCTCAGTTTTTTCATCTGTAAAATGAGGGGGTTGAATTAGAATCAGGGCTTCTTAAACTGTTTCTACTCATGCCCTTTTCCAGGGTAGGCAGTGTTTGTTGGTGACCTCTAGAGACTCTACCAGTTCTAATATCTTTCACCACATTTTAAAGGTTTTCATTTAGTTTTTCTCTGTCAAAAAGATGAAGACCCATCCCTGCCTAGTAGAGTACAGCTATTTTATCTCTACTCCCAGATTAGCAGCACCTGTAGTCTTTATGGCTATAAGACCACTGAAGAATGCCTTAAAGGTCCTACTGCCTATAAGCCAAAAGCTGATGAAGCTGGAACTCTGTCCTCTCTCCTTTGTCAAATGGACTGATTATCCTTTGTTAGGATTCACTTTGATGAATACAGTGACCCAACGGTAACAAAGAGACAATGCTTCATTTTCATCCAGATAAACCAGTAAACTACCAGAACTTTTATTAGCTGGGACAGCCAGAGCTTTGCCTCAGGTGATGCCTAGAGTGATGACTCACCACTTAAATCTGCAGATTGCCTTTCCTGTACTTCCCAGTTCTCTGTCTCTACTCCATCAACCAATCCTATACCACTACCTCCAGGATCAGAGCCTCATAGCAACCTGTTCCCAGGTCCTACCACAATCTCACTCCTAACTAATTTTTCTAGAGAACAAGGTGCCCTCTCTTCTAGCATGACTGTACCCAAACTTTCTGCTCCAAGTGAAAAAATCCCTAGTTGTGGTTCTGCAAAACACTGTTGGCAATTGTTAACTCCACAGGGAAAGAGAACTACAGAGGTTAAGTGATTTGTTCAATGTCCACATGGTAAGTTAAAATAATAGCTACTTTCAAGAGTTATTAGGGATGTGATTTAATTAGGACTACTGAGCAAACTAGATTATAGTGTTAGTAAAATGATTAGCCATCCAGTTCTTCTCATTTACCTAAGATCTTGTAGGAATAGATCTTATCCAATAATTTCATAGTCACATTAATAAATCTACATTTTGAAAAACAGTAACTGAAAGGCTATACTAATGGGCTATCTTAAACACCTCTGCATTTTGCACTTCAAAGTCAATGAATAAACAGACTCCAAATAATAGCATTGGCTCAGTAGAAAAAGCAGGATAAGAAAATGCTGTCCTGAAAGGAGGGGCTGGCCCTTGGTGGGTAACAGGACACAAGAACATTGCCGGATCCCCCTGTGAGGGCAGGGTAAATCACATTCTGTTTCCCTTTCCCCTATTCTTCACCTCATTGAACTAAAATCAGGTTAAAAATCCAGGAAAAAAGAATTCAGAACAGTACAATGACAGAAAGTAAAAGAGGAAGATATGAGCCTCAGGTCTATTTTATACCCAAATGGTAAAAAAGCCATCTCTTTCTTCCCTGTTGGTTGCCTCCATGATTCGCCACCCACTTGTCAATCATTTCTGCAGCCCAAGCAAGGCCAGGGATGAGTGTCTGATTTACCATGCCTTAGGGAAAAGGGATGCTGGGGAAGGGAGTGAGGCAGCCAGGGTTTCTCTGAGCTCTCCTTTCCTTCAACCTTTGTCTTAATAGTTAAGAGGCTATCTGGGCTAGCACTTTTTCTTCTTCCTATTGCCTCTTGCAAAATACCACCTTACTTTTTTATGTTTTACATACGTTACAAAGTGTTTTCAGATATATCCTCACTTGTCCTATGAAACAACCTTGTAAAGTAGACAGAGCAGGTATTATCACTATTTCTTTCCGAGTAGGAAATTGAGGTACAGAGAAAATGTCTTGGTCAAGCTTATATGCTTACTAGGTGACACAGCTGGGCCTACAATGGAAAATTCTCTATATCAAGTCCAGACTTTTCCTTTTCCTTTTCCTTTCCAGACTCCTTTCCTTTCTAAGCTTCCCTATATATTTTAAGGTAATGATTTGCTCCTACCATCTTTCATTCATATAGCTTTCAGAAGCAGATATCCAAACCCTATGATTACTTTGAAGATAAATCTTTAAATAAATTTAGTTCTTTAAGATAGAACTATTTAAAACACCAAAGAGATATTTTCTCAAGAACCTGTTCCCCCACCAATTTGTATGGATTACAAATTATCAATCAGTGCAAAGTATTGACATGTCTAGCCACTTATTTCCTCCATTCTCTGGGCATGGCATGAAAGTGATGTTATGAATCTTAAAGATTATGACATCAGAAACCAAGCTCTAAGCTTCAAGGCTCCTGCTCTAGGTAGCCCAGTCAAGCTGGAAGGGCTTAATGACAGAACTTTTGAAAGGTTCTCTGGACTAATATTTCTTTTCTTCTTCTAAAACTGTGACAGTGCTAGACTCTGCATCTTGAATAAGGTTTTTGGAGGCATGTGTTCAGAACATCCTAGGCATCCAGGTGGAAATGTCCTATAGGTAGCTATAAATGTGGGGCTCATGGGAAAGGTCAGGGCTGGAGATATTGATTTGGAAGTCATACGCATAGAAAAAATAATTGAAGACAAGCACATGATCGTGATTTCCAAGGGAGAGAACATAGGGAGAGAAGGGAAGACCAATAATAGAGCTGAGGCTTCACACTTGCTTTGTCAGCTGGAGGATGAAGATGGATTAGTAAGGAACACTGAGATGACATGATCAACAGAGAGGAGGATAACCAGTAAATTGGAGTGTCGTGGAAACCAAGGTAGAAGACAGTAGGTTAACATTGTCAAACGCTGCAGAGGCCGAGGACTGAGAGAAGATAATTAGATTTGACAATTTCTCAGTTGTTGGTGACTTTGGAAGGTGCAGTTTTACTGAAGAAGTCAGGATAAAAGCCAGATTTCAGGGGACTGAGGGTGATGAGAAAGTAGAGACAGTTAATAGAATTAAATTAGCATATGCCTTTTAGATGTTTAGTAAGGAATAGGAGAGAAATATGATCACTTGAGATAGAAAGGTTAAGGGAAGGTTTAAAAAATTTTTTAAGGGTAGAGAGAAGATAAGGAGAAAGATGCTGTGGCATAATGGATAAATGGCTGGCCTTAGAGCCAGGAAGACTTGGGTTCGATTTCCACTTCTGATACAGTCTATGTGACCCTGGGCAAGTCCCTTAATGTCTCAGTCTCCTAGGCAACCCTCTAATGCTACACGTTTCAGAGAAGGGATGAACTTGCAATGGCAGAGGGGAGTTTTCTCATCAGGGAGCTCCTTGTACGAATAAAATCATACATACACACACACACACATATTCCCCATTCCTACTCCTTTCCATATTATTATCCCTATCCTAGGGAAGACCTGAATATGTTTGTAGCTTGGTTAGAAGAAGTCAATTCAGTAAACGTTTATTAGGCACCTACTATGTGTCACGTACTGTGCTAGGCACTGGGGATACAAAAAGAGGCAAAAGACAGTCCCTGCCCTCATGGAGCTTACACTCTAATGGGGGGAGGAGGGGGGACACAACTTATACATATATAAAAGCAAACTATATACAGAATAAATAGGAAATAATTAACAGAGGGAAGACACTGGAATTAAGAAAGGGTTAGGAAAGGCTTCCTGTAGGAGGTGGGATTTTAACTGGGTCTTAAAGGAACCAAGGAAGTCAGGGGGTAAAGTGGAGGAGGGAGAGCATTCCAGGCACGGGGACAGCCAGAGAGAATGCCCAGAGCCAAGTGATGGGGAATGTTTTCTTTGTGGAAAAGCAAGTAGGCCAGTGTCACTGAATCGAAGAGTATGTGTTGGGGAGTAAAGTGTAAGAAAACTGGAAAGGTAGGAGCCAGGAGCCAGAGGAAGACACTGAAGATCCATGTGAGTAAGGAAATGACTGATGGAGCATGGTCACAGAAGAGATAGGAACGGATGGCATCAAGGGAATAAGTAGAATGCTTAACTGACTTCACAATCATCCAATCACACTGTGCGATCATAGGTTTACATCTACTAGGGCCCTTGGAGGCCACCTAATCCAATCTTCTTTTACAGATGAGGAAACAGAGGCAGGTAGGCTAAGTAACTTGCCTGATGGAACACAGATAACAAGTTGCAGGGATGAGATTTGAACTCTGTTTTTTTTTTTTAAATTCAAATCTAATGCTTTTTCAATGATACTATATAACAGCATTTTTAAAGTGAATTCATGTCAGGAATGAATCTTCTGGAGGCAGGGGATGAAGTGAAGGTGAAAACAAAAAACAAAAGAAATGACCACTCAAAATGCTCAGTAAAGAAAAGAGGATGGATGTAAATAGTTCAATCCCCAAACCACAACTCCATTGAGTCCATTCCTGGTCATTCTACCCACTCTTTTTACTGCTCGTAATGTTGTAGACCAATTTAATTTCTAATATTCTAAGATTCTCTAAGAATCTTCCCTGTGTTTCTTCAAACACTTCAGACCTTCTGCAAACAAAGAAACACCTAAGACCCTTGGAAATTAAAGAAGTTGATATTTCAGAGTGAGTTAAGCACGTGAAAGAGGAAATATTAACAACCTCCCATCAATACATATCACATCTATAGCACATAATCTGTATTATATATCATAATATGTCCTAAGTATTCAACAAAATTCATGTCATGATCGTACATGCATAACCTATATCAAATTGCTTACTGTCTTGGGGGAGGGATGGGAGGAAGGGAAAGAGGGAAAGAATTTGGAAATCAAAATTTTAAAAAACAAATATTAAAAATAGTTTTTGCATGCATTTGGGAAAAAATAAAATATTAATACAAAACAAAGTTTGTGTTGGGGAATTTTTTTAGTCTATTAAATTCTATGTCCTGCCTGAGCATCTAATGATGCTTAATTAGATCTGAGGTATTTCTATAGTCAGATATAAAACATAAGCAAAGTAACCAACAGAACTTACTTTCTATTGGAACACCATTTGTTAACCAGCTAATGCTGGGTTTGGGATTTCCACTAGCTCTGCAGATCAAAGTCCCATCTTCCCCAGGGGACAGCACAAGGTTTCTAGGAGCTGTGATCCAGTATGGGGCCGCTTTATTGAGGACAAAAATAAAGATCTGAATCAAACAAGCATTACAATACAGTGGTGAGAAAATGACTTAACCCTTTCTCTCAAAATTAATACTCTGCGCATGCATACTGAAACCCTCTACTAAAGTCCCACTCAGAAACCTCAGTTTACCATGGAGATGACATTGGGTCCTTCAAGGCTCTGCCAGTTGGATACAACCTCTGGCAGGTTTTATCACAAAAGAAATGCTTTGAGCATGGGTCCCATAAGGACCTGTAGTTCTGGTCTTTCATTCAAGGATCAACCAAGGAATCATAGAGAAGCTTATCACCATAATGTTGATCACCAAATGATTAACTGAATATTTTTGGTCACAATAACTCAAGAAAAAAATCTGCCCAGGAGGAGGCTGTTTGCAGCGTGTATGAATAGGAGGAATACCCATATTTCTAAAACAACTGAAATATTGATATAAATTATAAGAAATTTGTTTGATCAGGCTTCCATTTTCCACAAGCTAATCAATACTTGTACCCTACTTCAGATTAATACCATGGTGTTATGAAAGGATATCTAGAGAGTAATTCTAATAATTTTTTATTCTCAATATGATTCCCTTCATTTGACATTAACAGTAATTAAGAATTAAAAGCAGGACTGATTTGTCATGTGTCATAGGACAACCACGAGGTACATAAACGACTAAAAATAGAATGAATTTTGATCATTACTTCCTTTTTAAACTGAAGTAATTCATTGTTATTTTGATATAAGCTCCATTGCCAATGAGCCCTTTTAAGTGTTATACTGAATGTACCAAAAGTCTTAGTGCCATTTTAAAGCTTTACCACTATGAGCAAACACTAAGACTTTTGGGACACATTGTATACGCCCAAACTGTACAAAACCATTTGTTGCATCAAAGTTGATATTTAATTGATTGTACCTTCAATTTAACTAAGATGAATATATTTTAAACATTAGTATACCTTTGACTGTGACTGAAATAGTATGTTCAACAAAGCCTAAAGAATTTCTTGCTGTACACTTGTATTTCCCAGAGTCTGCCTCTGAAACATGAATGATATTCAGAGTTTTCCTAAAGTTTTTGTAAAACGTCCGGTTGACAGGTAGCTCTCCATCTACTTTTGTCCAATTGATCGAGGGAGTAGGCCTGATATGACAAAAAAAGATACTGATGTTGTAAAAACAGATGTGCCTTCATTTTATACAAGCATTTAAATCGTTTATCATGAGATAGATTTTATAAGCTCCTAATTCATTGTACAAGCGCTCAAATTTCACATTAGAATTTGTGGTGACCTCATACAACCAATATTTTGGTTACTTCTGTCAATATTCTGATTATTTACTTAAAAGAAATTACAAAACCATATTGCATAAGCTAGTTCCAGGATGATAGTTATCTTATGCAAATTGAGCTCTGATCAATGAAAAGGCCTTTGAAATTTCTGCAAGGTGTTATGTCAAAGCAATGGTCACAAAATGATCACAAAATGGTCACAAAAAAATGATACTCCATCAACTGGAGCCATCAATCTACAATGAACTAACTGACATAAACACCTCTTCTCATGAATCTCCACATATATTTCTATATTCAATTCAATTTGACAAATGCAAGTTGATAGAAATACAAAGACAAAAACAGAGTAGTTCTCTCAAACAGCTTACACTCTCCTGAGGAAACACAGTGCAAAATAAACATAGATAACATGAAAATATTAGGTATTTTATGACATCAAATGGAACCTTTCTCTTCTTACCAACCCTCATTGACTCTTTTGGCTTAATCTTGAAACATATATATGTATACATATATTATGTATATATATATATATATCTGTCTTTCTGCTCTATCTATCTATCTATCTATCTATCTATCTATCTATCTAATACTAGAGGTCTAGAATGGAAATGAGGGCTGGTTTTCTAGTTCCAGTATTTGTTCCTAATTTTATTTCTGGAACTCAGTAACACTAGTGGAAGAATTACTAGTATTACTTAATAATACTGGTGGGAAGTGCACACACATGTTATTTTAAACTCTTAGTACCTCCATTTTCTCATCTGCCCAAAGGGAGATAATATCTGCTTTCCTGACCTTATAGGGTTGTTGTGAACATTTTTTTAAAAAATTGTGTCTGCTTTTTTCATAAAATATTGGATTGAGTGACTATGGAAAAAATGTTTTCTCAAAGGAAAATAATAATAGCTAACATTTATATAGTACTTGATGTTTTACAACCATGCAAACATCTTTTATAATAAACCCAATCTGTGAAGATAACAAAGGAAAAAATTAAAGGCATCATATAAATGGAAGGCATTCATCAGCTTTCTATTATTTTACAACATAGACTTATAGACTAAACTGACTGAAGTGATCATAAAATCTCATAGGGAGAGTGGGAAGGATAAGCACATTTTATACATTACTAAATTTATTCTGACTCCTCTTTTAGCTGGAAGTTCTTGCAAATAAGGAATTTTTGGATGCTTTGTCCCTAGTGCCAGGCTTACTTGTAAAAGATCAGACCAGAGCTTTCCAAAAGTGGTTTTGCAATACATGCAGGGAGCCAGATCATCTGAAGGGATTAAATAAAATTTTAAAATCCTATTTTAATAAATCATAATTAAATAACTGCCAAATAGTATGGAGGGGGGAGAGCTGTAGTTATATTGTATAATAGGTTGATATATTAAGAGAGAGAAAGGAATCCAAAGATTATCTAGGCCAACATTTCTCTCTCCATTGTATAGATGTGCCCAGAGAAGTCAAGGTGACTAGCCCACGTTCATAGAGTTTCCAAATTAGTGTCCTTTCCACTATAAGAGTGGCATAACTCCAAAACGTCTGAGAATCATTGTATTGTACCCTATTCCTCCCTTAAAATCAAGCTAAAGTAGATCTGAAGGATGTCACAAAGAATACAAGAAAGCGGATATTAGGACTAGTTTGCTGGGTTCCTTCAGCAGTAGATGCCAGAGTGATTTCCCACACTGGCCAGGAGAGGCCTCCAAACACACCCTGGTAAAGGAAAAAGAATACCAGGAAGCCTATTCTAGGAAAGTCGGGGGCAGGATTAGAATGTGAGCCCAGTGGCTTCCCACACACAACTGCTGCGAGGTCAGGGAAAACACTGAGTGAATCATTTATGGCCAGCAGAGGCTCTTGTCTCTGAGATTTCAGTCGACATTGTTAATGGAAGAGCCAACAATAATATGTGCAACAAATTTCCCTTCTAGTGTCCTGAAACTTGTCTGCAGACTAGATGGCTCCTTAATGGTAAATATGCCCTGATGCTATGGAAGTTTTGTGGTATGCAGAAATGGGGGGTTCACATAGCTAATATTAACCAATTTCAGATCACTTATACTAGCTGTATGACCATAGGCAAATAATGTCACCCGTCTGAGCATCAGTTTTCTCATTTGTAAGATGGGGTGCCTGACTCACAGAATTGTGGTGAAGAAAGTTAGTACTGTTACTAATAACTACCTGTAAAACAGTAAGACATAGAGAACTAAGGAAAGAATAAAGGGAGTTTTGAGGATCATTTGGCACTTATGGTTTGAAGGTGACAACAATATTTTAAACATGGCAACTATATGAAATAGAAGAGACAACAGGATGTAGAAGGAATATTAGACTGGCAATCAGGAGACTTAGTCCCGAGTCTTGCTTTGTCAGTAATTAGCTGTGCACCAATGATTAAGTCCTTTAACTGCCAAATAGTATGGAGGGGGGAGAGCTGTAATTATATTGTATAATGGGTTTATATATTAAGAGAGAGAAAGGAATCTAAAGATTATCCTAAAACCTCAACTTTCCCACCTGTATAATGAGTGCCACGGATCATCTGATTTAGAAGACCCCCAGTTCCTAGGATCCTAAGACTCTTATGAAATCCTTAGGTAAGCAAATTTGATAGTGAGTTATAACCAATACAAACAATTAAGCCTTCTCCTAAGAAAAGAAATATAAGAAGCAACATATTGAAATGTTCAAGTATTACAAACAATGCAACATGCTATTTTTTTTTTAATATGAGGATGCTATTGACAGTGTGACTAGGGCTTACACTCTGTTTTGTTTTCCTAGTAGTGGTGATAGATTAAGGCTTATCTGGCTGTAGTCCCTTACTTCACTTACACGGGAAATGATGATAAAACACAGATATGGGGTCATTTCTCATCAAAATAAACATCTTTGTCTAGGTTTAACTTTTCCAAATTGTACCATATTAACTTAGAATGGAATCCCCTTTTGATGTCAGAATAGTCTTATGGCTTCCAAGTAGCTGAAGGATCTCAGAAAAATGAGTCAGCCAATCAGTCTTAACAGTCACAGAACAATAATAGTACCTATTCAATTGAGCTAAAAGCCAAAGGCTAAAATAAGTAAATATGAACTTATGCCAATCTTGTAAACTAAGCAGTTTAACAAATGTGTGATTCATCCTGCCTACTTTCAAAACACTTAGCAATGTTTCCTTGGCACATGCATAGCCTTTCATAGCCTATAATACAAAAACCTCTAAATAAGTATACTTTGATTTTTTTTTATTAGAAATATATGTTAGGACAAAAATCAACTCACAAGCCTTCTGCAATACACTCTAGGGAAAGAACATTTTCTCGTAACTCTTCTTTATGACTTGTGCGGCCTTCTGGAGTCAAAAGTTTTGGAGGCCTCTCGATATAGGACTTGGCTGCAGTGAAGAAAGTCAACAAATACAGAATCACATCTATAAGTAGCCACGGACACACGTTTCCAATTTCTTTCCCCTAAATATCCTAGCCTACATTCATACTCATTTCAGTTTGGAAGTCAAAAATTGGTGGCCACATACAGACTCATTGCCCTAACTTATTCGGCTAGACCTAGCAACGATTTATGTTGGTTGCATACTTGAGACGTTATTTTCACTACCCACCAATCTCCTAGAAACAGGAAGACTTTTAAAAACAATCTATAGGTTTACATATTCTTAAAATGTATTTACTAAGCTTTAGTATAAGTTATTATATTGAGTATATATACACATAGATAATATAGATAGATATATTTTATACATATATCAAATATATAGTCATATATGCCAAAGATAAATGTGTACATGTATGTGTTTACATACATATACACACATACCTATATCTGATCAAAAATGTGACTGAGCATTTTGAAGAGGGACTAGCTGATAACAGATGGTCATTCTGTGGCATTTGAGTTAACAAAGGGAATGAAGCTGCGCCTAGTGATACAGGCCTGTAATCCCAGCTACCAGGAGGCTGAGACTGATAGATCTTTTGATCTTGGGGTCAGGAGTTCAGCACTGCAGTAGACTAAACTGATCAGGTGTCCTCACTAAGTCTGACATCAGTAAGTCTGGTGGGGGGGGAGGGACTTGGCAGTAGGCTACCTAAGAAGGGGCAAACTCATATAGTTGAGTAGAGAGAAGGTCAAAGTTCCCATGATTAGTAGTCGGAAGGAACATAAGAGTAGCCCCAGCATTTCTTGCCTAGTGAGATAGGAAGACCCAATCTTACAAGGTCAGGGAGGAGGGGAGGAAAGGAATGATTTTACATTGTAAGAGAATAATCAGGACTTTGCTGAGGATTCAGAGATTGTGAGGAGGCTTACCCTATGTAAACCTAGCTCAAGTTATGGGAAATGGTTCTGTGGGGATGCAGATGAATCTGTTCTTTAATGGAGCATAAAGAGACAGCAATCAAATAAAAGTCGGGCCATTGTGCAGCAAACATATATTCCTTGTAACTGAATAGCATATGTTCAATTTGCCCCTTAATAGTTTTTAGTTCACCTTTAACTGTTAATTAACATGAATGTTGGACATTTTTTGTTGATAAAACTTGGATTTCAGGGGCCAATAATGTATATAAAATGTAAAACCAAACTCTTACCTGTTTTAAAAGTACAGTGTAAAGAAGGTAAATACTTTGGCATAATGATTATATTAATAGGGTATAATAGCTGGTTTTCCTTTCTACATTAGCTACATAATTTTTTTTACAGGTTCTAAGGTTTCATTGATTTAGGGCCCACCCAGTGAGAGAACTCTTTATCAATGCAGAACAGCACATATCTTCCAACTTACAGTTTCAGAAAATTACATGAGGATTAAGAGGTGAAGTGAACTGCCCAGGGTCCCATTTGTATGTGGCAGAGGAGGAACTTAACCCAGGTTTTTCTGATTTCAAGACTTTCTGCCTATCTACTTATATCACACTGCACTTAATATAAACATTCAGTAAGTACTTAAAATTTTATTGAATAAAAATAGATATTTATATTTATCCCTGAAAACTTTACAAAATCTTTTTATGTCTTGTTATAGGATTACTTGAACAAAAGGGATTGATTATAATAACTCATCTGTGTACATGTCAAGGAAAATAGTTTCATCTAAAAGATCCATAAGTGACTTAAAAGAAAAATGCTATTGCCATTTATATAAAATGAAAATAGATAAAATTAGGGAAATGCAATAATTTTTAAAAGCATCTACCAAGTTATTGGTTGCTGGGATTATTCACTAATAATGCCTCAAGATATTACTGTTACTTAACAAGTGGTTAGTCTGAGTGAACATTAATATGCCCTTCAACATTTCACTGAATGCACAGGAAAACGTGAAAAGAAAAAAAAAGAATAGAGAAGTTAAATTTAAAAATAATTTCTAGATCATGTGAAATGGTTCTCCAGGTAAACATACACAGCTAGAATGGAAGTTTTTACAATGTGAAAAATGTAAGTAATATTAAAAAATTTTTAGTAACACAATTTTAAAGGTTTCTATCCACAGGACTACATAAAATTTTAAAAAAGCAGTTATGGTTAAGTAGCTATGGAGGTGGAGTTAGTTTACTAATTTCTACAATGGAGACAAGAGCAGTTATGATCACCATAACTTACCACCGTAAAACTCAGAGTCACTCAAATTAGCAGTTATAGTGTCATTCAATTCATCCACTGAAATAAACAGAATATTATGAAAAATGCACCAAAAATAAGGGGGAAGGATTAAAAATATTGGGTGACAAAAGCAAACTGATAATGTCTAATGACAGTCTAATGACTGTCAGTTCTAGCAAATAAAAACTAGTTGTAGATATCACTGTCATGTGATCACTTTTGACCAATAAAATTGTGAACTTACAACTCAGACTTGAAGAAGATGATTAAAATTCAGGATGTGATAAGTCATACTTTATAAATAAGAACAGTACCAAAACTAAGCATTAGATAGCATGTTCCTTGATGAAACAATAGCAAAGACACACAATCATTGTTCATAGTGCAAATTTTAAAATATATAAGGTATCCGGGCATCTATTGACATTTATAATACTTATCACAATACTTTATTGGGATACATAGATAATTTCTTATTCAATAAACCTATTTAGTTCAATATAGGTGGTATATCATATATACATATGTGTCCGTATTTTGTATTAGTAAACCTGAATGAAATATAAATTTAGAAAATTTAATACGTACTTGAATGTACTTTCACAGAAATGGGTTGCTTCTGCTGGATGGTCTGAGTATGATTAAATCTTGCATAACAAATATAATCTTCACGAGTATCTTCTGGTAGCACATTAGAAAAATAAAGGTCTCCATTTAGACCTTGGGAAACTCTTTCACTTTGGGGAAGGCGTTGAAAAGCTGGGGAAAGGGAAGCAGGAAACTAAATATATACTCATACCATTTGAAAAATGCCACTTTCAACATTAGCAGAATAACTTTTTAGGCACTTTAAAATATACTTCATAAATATTGATTTTTCCATTCCCTCTCCCCACTTGAAAATTTCCTTTAAGTCCTTTTATATGTTCCTGTACAACTACTTAACAAGAGGGGATGACTATAAAAATTTATATGCGGAAATTCCAGCAATACAAAGATGTTAATAATTCATTGAGGGGAAAATGCAAAAAGAGAACAGTGAAGAAAAGTTCAGTATATAGGTCCTAAGGGTTTTATTATCAGTATATTTAATAGCTAATATATTACACACACACATACACAAACACTTCTGTTTACAACCTTACAACAATTCTTTGAGGTTGGCAATTGCAAGGATTATTTTACAGATAATGAAACTGAGGCTCAGAGGTTAAGTGACTAGGCCACATTCACATAGCTAGTGAGCATCATAGTGAGGATTTGAATAGAGATTTGCTGACTCCAAGGGCAGGTTTCTTTCACTGCATCCCACTGCCTCAATACAATTTGACAGATGATCTAAAGGCTTGTTACTCCTAATTGTATGGTAACTATTTGTGGAAGTTGTATTGATGAAATCTCTAAGGGTGACATGCTTAAACTGCATTCACATAGTTGTTGCAAATCATTTGCAAAATAGACAAAGGTTGGTGATAGTTTAAAAGTACCCCCATAATTCCATATGTGCTATATTTAAATAGAAATGGTAGCAACTCTGGTCTTGTTTCAGTGCTTTGTCACTTTACTTCCAACTTTGATCTAGATAGGGGTGTCAAGGCATGATCAAAATTTCAAGTGGAGGGAAAGGAAACAAACATTTAATAAGCACCTACCATGTGACCAGCATTGTTCTAAGCACTTTACAAATATTATCTCATTTGATCCTTACAACAACCCTGGTAGGTAGGTGCCATTCTATATTTGAGGAAACTGAGGCATACAGTGGTTAAACCACTTGTCCAGAATCACATAGCTAATAAGAGTCTGAGTCTTGATTTGAAATCAGGTCTTCCTGACTCCAGGCCCAGGCCTCTATCCATTGCATCACTGAATTTAAACATACTAACACCAGAGCCTAGAGGGAAATGACTAACTATTCATAAGTGAATCTATAAGTCAGTTTATTGTTCATGAATACCCAAATCAATCATGAAACCTAAGTTTCAATTCCGTATGGATCCCCCTTGAAAAATTATTTCACAGAGAATTTTGTCTTGAAAATTTATACGTATAACATATGTGTATATGTATTTATAATATATGTGTATATACACACACTTTTATATAAAGCATTTCAGTTGTCCAGGGCCCCAAGAATTGACACTTATGGGCTGTATGACTACAGGAAAATCCTTAAGCTTGTCAGAACCTTAGTTCAATTAGGTTCAATTCAAGTTGTATTTATTATGCATCTACTATGTGCAAGGCACTTAGATAGGCAGTAGGGATACAAAGAAAAGACACAAATACAGTCACTGTCCTAAAGGATCTTATATTCTATTAGGAGAGGGGGGAAGGGGGAGAAAGAGTGAGAGAGAGAGAGAGACAGAGACAGAAACAGAGAGAGATGGAGACGGAGATATACAGTGAGAAAGAAACAAAGAGAGATGGCGAGATAAAAATAGAGAGACAGAGAGGCAGAGACAGCAAGAGAGACCAAAACAGAGACAGAGGAGAAAGAGGGAGAGAGAGAAGGTAAGAAGAGAGGAGAAAGAGACAAAGAGACAGAGAGAAACTATTTCAAAGAGTTGTGAAGAAAACTCCTACCTTAAAACTTTAAGTCCACAACACGAAGGAGAGTTATTATTTTTACTACTGGGAAAGCCTTCATAGGTCCAATCAATTAGCTGTGTTACATAGACACAGTTTGCATAGACAATGGATAGAGTGTTGGGTTTGGAGTGAGGAAGATCAGAAATCTAATAGTGTCTCTGAAACTTATTAGTTCCCACGGGCAAGTCACTTAACCTCTTGGTGCACCAGACATTCACGAATACATAAACTGCGGAGAAAATGGTTACCTGTGTTGGCAGAGGGAATTTCATTATCTGGGTACCTACACCCATGAAACCATAAGTCTAAAACCAAAACCAAAACCATGTCTCACTGAGTTGTTGTGAGGCTCAAATGAGATAATGTGTGTAAAGAACTTTGGAAACTTCAAAGTGCTGAATCAATGTCATGTATTATTTCAATATCTAGTATGTATGTGTCCTTTCTTACCCTCATAGAATGTGAATGTTCCGACTAATGGTTAGGATCCTTCTTCTGTGGAAGGGAAAGACTAGTAAAGAGCTAGTGTCTGATAGAACTCAGAGTCATAAGATTACAGAATTGGAAGGAAACTCATATTATCAAGTCCAATTTCTAGCTGAAATGGAATTCCTCGTGTGAAATCCCTGAAAAATAATGATTTTTTCTAGACCTACAATGATAGAAAACTAGGTACTGATTCCTCTTCTGAACATCACTCAGTGTGAGGAAATCTTTCCTTACATTGAACTGAAAATAGCTTCCTTGCAACTTCCAACCACTGCTCCTAATTCTGCCTTCTGAAGTATAGCAAAATAAATCTAATCCTTCTTCCACCTGACAATCTTTCATATTTGAGAGGACAGCCATTATGTTCTTTCTAATTCTTTCCTTGTCCGCACTAAACATCTGTACTTCCTTCAATAATCCTCACGGGGTGGTAATGAAGCAAGCACTTTGTGAAATCTTAAACCATCCCTGTAGAGATGTGTTCTAACATAATTGTTATATTATTAATTAAACTAATAAGGGATAGCAAATTATTCTTGCAAATTTTGTCATGTATCAATACAAGCAAGAATTGAAGTTCTACTATTTTGTAAAACACAATAAACAGGAGTAAAAGTAGATTCCTTGGTGGCATATAAAAATAGAAAAAAGAGGGAGAAAGGGAGAGACAGAGACTAAGAGACAGAGAGGAAGGCAAAGAGAGATATATACACAAAGAGACAAAGAAATAGATAGAGACAGAGAGACAAATAAGGAGACACAGAAAGTTTGCTTTGTATTTTTTCTTTTGGGGTGTCTTCTCAGCATGTTTTCCCAAAGAACAAAATTTCAACACTGGAAATTAAAATTTGGGAGTCTTTTTCCCCCTTCAAAGACTAATGTTTTTGATTGCTATCTGAGGAAATTTTGTTTTCAGCATTCAATATGTATGACCTTGTGAGTTATCTTCTTAATTAATCTAATATGCAATGTAACTTAGATTACAGTATTTTTATAAGTATCAGTTTTCCTCTAGGAACTTAATTTTTTAAAAAAACTCACAAAAAGTAGTACCTCACATTAAAACAACAAAATGACATGCTTTAAATCTTCTTACAACTTACAATTGTCCATCCAAAATATGATAGGTGGTGGTAATCCAAGTGGGGGTCTGCAAGGAAGTATGAGAGACTGCCCTTTCAGAATTGTGATTTGTTCCAGTTTTTCTTTGGTCCACAAGGGAGATCCTATTAAATACAACATCAGCTCCTAAGTTAACCCTTCACTGGGAAATCTTTTAAAAAAGATACAGTTAAAGGAAAACGTCTCATAGTCTCACCCATTCCTCTCAATTCAATTTATAAATCTTAACCATTTATCCTTATGGAAAGAAGATGGGCTGAACTTCAAATTTGAAGTTAATTCTATGCAATTTATTAAAAATGTGAATAGTACTTATTAAATGCTCTATCAGAGAATCTCGGCCAAGATTTGACACTAACAAAAAAAATACCACACAAAACATCAAAGCTTGTTATCAGATGCTATTTTATGTAAAGTAAGGAATGAGGAAGCACATACTGTTTTGAAAAAAAAAAGTAACACCAAGGAAAAAATTCAAATAGATTTGATTTACATATCTCCAAATGCCTTATATATTGGATAAAATTCCTCTTGACCTCAGGAAACTTGTTTGTATAGAAGATAATTTAGGAACAGATAAATACGTTGGTTCTGAAAAATAATATTTTCTTTTCATAATGCCTTGTTACCATTTACTATGATTTTTTTCAAATACACATAAGACAAAAAAAATTATGTCGGAAAAAGGTTTAGATAATGAACTTGTTAGAGAAAACTGGAAAAGTGAGTGATTTTCTTGCAATTCAAAGGCAGAACATGAAAAGCTTTATTATTACAACATCTTCATTTTTGAAGGAGATTGTATTGATGATAAAAAAAACCCCCACAGTTTTACAAAAGCTGAGAATTACAAAAAGAGGAACACCCAAAAAGAGAAATAGCAGGTTTGATTTACAAGTTTTACTTACTGGATGGGCGAATGACAATATTATTAGAAATTGCTGCCCCACGTTCATTCCTTGCAGTACATTGATAGACTCCTTCATATGTCTCTGCCTTCCCTTCAATTGTAATGCTGATTACAAGGGTTCCTGAGTTGGGCAGCATTTTTACTAGGGGGTCTTTGTCTATGTCAAAATGAGTCCCATTGCGTGTCCAGGAGAAGCTACCATCAAATAAAAGACATGAGATCAGAATACGCTAAAGAGTTAGAAAAGTCATATCACTCTAAAAATTCCTTTTTAAATATATGTATATGTACAGTAGAATATTTAGATGTATATTACATACATATATACATACATCCTAATGGAATATTTAGATACATGCATTGTATAAATATATGTGTATATATATATATATGTGTATATATAATCCAAGGACTTGCATAGATTTTAATTGAGAACAAATTGTCCAATATAAAAGACCACAACTTTAGAAAATTATTCATGCATGAAGTGCTTGATTTCTGAATGATGACCTAGAAATAAAGTATTAGTTCTCCATTTTCAGGTCCATATCTTTTTTATAACTAACCACCAATAGGACTCAGCGGAGAAATCAAGCACGAAAATTGCCTGTCATTTTTCAAAAGAAAACATAGGAAGCTAGTCTGTCAGTCTTACTATTCCTAGAGCTTCATTAGCATTTTTATTATAGATGCCATTGTTCAGAGGGTTGGTAACCTGTCTGTAAAAATTTGCTCGGAGCTGAAATGTGACATTGAAAGCGTCAGCTGGAACTATGTCTTTTAATTGGTTAGGGCAGCTTTAAGTTATGGAAATGTAGCAAATTCCATATAGGGGTTGACTAATATTTCATTTCTTGCAAGTGAGAGCTGGGATTCTGCAAATATATTCTGCAAGTTGCTGGCTCCTGGCTAATTTAGTAAATTCCACAGGGAGCTATCCAAAAAGTCAAATGAGATTCTGATGATGTGTGCATACAGTGATTTATTTCATTAACAAATTCCTTGCCTTTGCATTCATAACGGTCATGTAATTCAGCACTTTATTTAGAAACATATTTACAGCATAGGCAATGACCGTGCTAACACAAGAGCACGTGTTTCCAAGTTGTACTTTTTTTTTTTAACTCTAGGCACTTTTTCCCTCTTTAATACAGGATTACAGATGGTATTAAAAATAAAGGTAACTATAAATCTAATCCACAAAAACAAGAGAAGAGGATTTTTAAAAAATAAAATTTCTGAAACAATAAAGCAAAACATATAAAATTGAAACAAACTACTGATTAAAAATTTGAACTGTTAAACCTCCTTTGGACTTTTTTTTGGCTTCATGGCTTCGGGCCAGGTGCCTCTGCCCCCTCCTTTTCAGTTTCCTTTTATGTGTTCTCTTCCCTTGTTAGATTTTAAGCTCCTTGAGGGCAGGGACTGAATTGTATTGGGAGCTTTTTGTATGTGTGTTTTCATTTTCATATTTGAATTCCTAGTGCTTAACAGTGCCTGTCACATAGTAGGTGCTTAATAAATATTTATTGATTGAATGACTGACCAGAAGATCAATGTTTTGACTTAGTTAATGGCTTTCTTTATTCAACATTTTCTACTTCTCTACACACTTAGTATGAACTCCAAATTTACATACTTTATTGTATGAAATCATACCATGTGCAAATCCCTCGATGCTTGCTTTAGATACTTTCTTACCTCTACCTCCTGAAATCTCTTGTTTCCTTTAAGACTCAGCCCCAGTACCTTTCCTGGTCTCTCCAGCTGCTACTGCCTTACAGGTCTGACTCCCAGATCACCCTATATTGGCTTTGTATGTGTTTTGAATATACCTATAAATGCACTTGTCTCCCCTATTAGAATGTAAGTTCTTTGACAGCAGGGACTGTTTTGCCATAGTCTTTGCATCCCTAGCACCTTTGTACCCCTAGCATGTAATATATCCTCCATAAATGCCTGTTGTTCGATTAATTCCCAATGTGGTGGTGATGCTGAAGGCTATGCCAGAAGAACACAGACTCTGGCAACTCTCACCATTTCTGAAGGCCTGGGTGACGGAATTCAAGTCTTTTATCCATGGGCCAAGTTTAAAGAGATTCCTCAGCAGATTAGCCATAAAGTGATGAACTTTTTTTTTTTTTTGCCAGAGAAACTCTCAAAGATCATCTACTACATTAAAGGGCATGGCTCTGTGGATTTCAATATCCTACATCATTGAAATTACAGACCTTTGTTGTATCTCCCACTATATTCTTCCATGAGTGCAGGGATCATGTACCCATCACCCAGAAGAGTGCTTAGAATGCAGGGGCCCTATATTGTAGGCTATGCTAAATAAATGTCTGATGAACTGAATGACTTCCAATTGCCTGTCTACTGTGATGGAAATAAGGTTAGTAATGGTGAACAAAGTCTAGGAAATATTTGGAGTGTCATTTGTTTCTCACTTAAAAATGCATATGTCGTAGAATCCGTAATTCTATGAGATTCTGTAAATCTCATAATTGGACCTAAGAAGTTATTTACCTCAATCCAAAAGTAAATAGCAATTCCTTCCTCTCTTCCATAATATCCAAAGATTTTCAATCCAGTCACCACATAAGAACCTCAAATAATGGAGAGACTACTAGCTGTGGAAGAAGCTAATTTTATTTGGGGGCAGCTTGGATTGTTGCAATTTTTTCTTTTCTTCTGGCTTGCATCAAGCCATAATCTAACATTATTATTCAAAATATTTTAAGTGATGTCTGTGTTATATTCTATATGTAGAAGCCTAACCATGGAATTCTGTATGAGTTTGGAGAACTATTTAGGACCATTTGAAACCAATTCAAGTGTTATCCACTTTGAAAGAACATAAATAATAGAAGAAACAAACAATGAGCCTAGAGAAAATTTCAGCATTTAGTATACTACCTTTGAAAGGCATAAAAAGCCAGAGAGACTAATACAATCTTAACCAAGGGCAGCTTGGACAGTCATATATAGAAACATCCAAATGGGAATAGCTTTTATTCCCAATTTGCTTTAATTTATATTTATTTTTAATATTTGTTCTTATGCTTGGAAATGTTCTTGTTTTCTCTTACAATTTGCAAAACATTTTTTAAAGCATACCAACCTGGGAGGAGGCTTTCCTTTTGCCTCACATTGGATTTCAATATTCTCTCGGGGGTCGATAATGTAATCTTTTGGAGATTGACGAATGATGGTTGGAGGTTGCACCACTTCATTGTTGAATAGAATAAACAGACGTAGAGCAATGAACAATTGTTTCAATATATTAATCAGTCATTTTCTCTAGAAAAACACTAAATTTCACAAAATTTATCCAAATATCCTTCGTATTTTTTATGAAGAGAATAGCTCTCAGTAGGCACTAAATCAAAAGTTACCTGGAACTATAAAGTTAATACATATCTCATTGTCAGATTCTTGACAGGCACATATTTATTTCCAAGCAAAATGCTTAGGAAAATAGTGATTAGTAAAAATTTTGTCAGTCACAAGACAAAGTCAGTTTATTTTCTGATGCAACAATGAAAAATTCCTCTGACTTAGGATCAAAATGTTTCAGTACAGTCAAGTTGAGGTAAGCTTTCACTATATCTTACTTATAGAAAAGATAAATTCACTAATGTATCTGGAGCCTAGATGGAAGGAAAATATACTTTAAAATATTGAAAATGAAATATGTGCATGGAGTTTACACAGTGACCTTTGAATTAGATGTAGAAGGCAGATGAATTATGAATAAAGACAATCAGATTCAGGATAAAAGGAATGCAGTTAGGGATGTTCTTAATGGGTGGTCCAGTGGATAGAATGGTGGGCCTGGAGTCATGAAGACTTGAGTTCAAATTTAGCCTCAGATACTTCCTAATTATGTGACCCTGGGCAAGTCACTTAACCTAGTTTGCTACAGTTTCCACATCTATAAAATGAGTTGGAGAAGGAAATGACAAACCAATGCAGTATCTTTGCCAAGAAAACCCCAAATGGCATCATGAAGAAACAACTGAAAAAACCCCCGAATCTTGCTTTTCAATATTTCCATTACAATATTCAAAGTGAGATGATAAACTGCTACCTAACCACATTGGTTTTTTTCTGTATGGCTAAGAGAGCAAAACTCTTCTTCATCATATGTCTCAGTTTGTGATGAAGAAAGCTTGTTTCTATATCCATTACTCTATTGAAACTGTTCACTCTAAGATAACAAATGCTTTCTGATTTGGAGAAACTACAGCTTTTGAGGCTAGAAAGAAGCACAAAGATCTAGTCTAAGCCTCCCCCTTCTATACATGATGAAACTAAGGTTCGGAGATCTTAAATGATTTGTTCAACCTAGAACCCTGATCTCCTCTTTCCCTGCCCACTACCTTTCCTATCACTCTTGTTGCTGTGGTTGTTCAGTCATCACTCCATGCGACTCCATGCACCTTTGTCCATGGGGTTTTCTTGGCAAAGGTATTGGAGTAGTTTGCCATTTCCTTCTCCAGTGTGCATTTTACAGTTGAGGAATTAAGGCAAATAGGGGTTAAGTGACTTGCCTGGGGTCACACTGCTACTAAGTGTCTGAGGTCACATTTGAACTCAGGTCTTCCTGACTCCAATCCCAGTGCTCTATCTGCTGTACCACTCTTTTGCCAGCTGATTCTCCCTTAAAATATTATCTTTTCTCAATTCTTATCTTGATTTACATTTCTGATGCATTTAACACATTCTTCTTAAAAGAATGGCCACCATGACATTAGAGTTTTTTGGATTTCCTACTCCTTTTCTAACCTTAGCATCAGTAAGATGCATTTGTCTCTACAATCATGAAAAGTCAATTCATGAAAAACTGAATGCATCTACTACAAGAGTTGAGGCCTTTCATTACTTGAAACTACACATATGAATCTTAAGAAAACACTTATATCTCAATATCAAAAAGATGAGTCTTTATTGCAACAGGTAGTGAATAGTTAATTTTATTTAGAATATTTTGGTTAGGTTCTCTCTTTTTTCTCCTAATGTTGGGGAATTTTCTCATGAAGTTGCATCAGATGTAAATAAAATCCACATGAGTAAACAAAGTGTCACTTTAGTAAAAGTAAAAAAAAGTGTTCTAAAAGGCTGTTGGGAGATATAATAATCCCTAGTAAAATGTACAAAATACTAAAGCTTCTTTGTATTCTATGAATGCAGTAGTTAGCCACAGCAAACACACACGCTCCACAAATAACCACAGTCATGAAATTTGGATTTTGTAACTTGTGACTTCAGCATTACAAAGTTATAGATTCTACTTTCACACTGTCCATCAGATAAAAAAGAAACTTACAATTTTCAAGTTCTTTTTCCCCCATCAGTATCAGCAGGTGAGTGGGCAAAAAAGGATTAAAGAAAATCAGTTGTTAGTAAAAAGGGAAGTTAGAACCTTAGAGATGAAAGGAGCAAACTCCAGTCTGAAGTTTTATCCCCCAAACTGTATACAAGAGGGTGATCCAGTGCTGTTCTAAGTGGCAGGAACTTGAATTAATTGAATGTATTTTACTATTGCTGTAGCTATCCATATAACCATGTGAAAGAACAAAAGAAATGCTTGAGGCAAAATTGAGTCTTCTGGAGACTCAAGAAGCTTATTCCATTCTATACGTGTTGCACTGGACAAGTAATTACTTTCAATTTGAAAAATAGCTGAAAACTACAATTAATCTGAATTGTCACATACTGTGCTGTCTGTCTCTGATCCTATTAGCACAGACACCACTATGCACATGGTGTCATCATCAGTGCTAGCACCAAACAATGTGACAAACACCGCTGAGCATCCATTTGGCTACAGTCTAATACTAGATCAAACAGGCCAGACCAGCAATGTCTCTTCCTAGGATTTTTCTATCCGATGGGTTAATCATTAAGTGCGTGCTTTGTTTTTTCAGAACATAAGAAAATTATTACTTTGAAAGCTCAGCTGTAAAGTAAGATTTTGGCCAAAGGTCAAAACTCAATTTAGGGGCAGATTTTTAAGCTTTCTCTCCCTTTCCTTTTCCTGCCTATCTGGCTATTTCCTCCCTTTACCAGTGACTACTCTAAAGAAAAGATCAGGATTTGGTGGAAGGGGGACAAGGGGCCATGCAGCTGGGAAGGAATTAAATCAGTGCAAAATTTACATTAGTCTCCATTGCTGCCCGTTATCAGGCTTGCAAAGGTTGAGACAGAAGCCTTGGGTTTATCTATGACTTTCTTCCATAGTAATTACGCTTCTCCATTAGCAAAGATAATTGGGTTAGCCGCAGGTGACTGTTTCCCTCAGACTGTGAACAGTTAGATTAGAGGAAGACTTTTAGCACTAGAATGAACAAAAGCATTTTTTTCAAGAGTATTTCTGTCCCCTCCATGTTTCAGCATGTGCTTAACTAGGGGGCACATACTGCCACCCCAGCAGGTTAAGAAAAAAAATTGAAATTAAAGTCATGTGATTAAAAATGGATGTAGACTAAAAAGGAATTGAAAATAAGTTGGAAAAATACTGGGTTTGAATTTTGATTTAGATTCTAGTGCCAGAGGAAAAGGGAGTGAGGTGCAAACCAAGCTTGTTGGTAGCAGCCTCTGTGGCAGAAAATGATTGTAAAAATTGAAAAGCCTCAGGAAAACGTTATCTTTCCCTCACCTTGAAAACATTGCCAAGTAGATGTTCCATTCAAAAAGTTAATGGATTTAAGAAGGTCATGCAGATTAAGGATAAGGCATAAATCAATGTGCTGGAGTTATAATTTTCCAGCTTCTGAATATTCTGTTTTTCATTTCAAGAAAGGGACCAAGATATAACCTGGAATCTTTTACAGAGGTGACACATACCAGAGAGAATATACCTGGGTCCAGATTAATATTAGTTGGAATAAGGAATTTGATGAAGTGTTTGCACTATTCAAAGTATAAATATATGTAAAATAAGGCAATTGGTTTCAGCCCAGTAGAAGTATGCAATGAAAATTTGAATAATTGGACCACTTTGCAGGATTCATTATTCGCACTAATCAGGACCTAGTTATATAGCCTATAATTCCCCATTTGGGAGAGAATAGATATAATATAGTCACTACCATTTACTCCCTTCTGCTCAGGATCCTCACAAATCACTTATCTTATTTTCAGTTTCTAACTTTCTCTGTAATTAAATTCTTCATCAAAGATGACTAATTCATAAAACTTCATACATAATGCATTTCCTAATTCTAGAATCACATGTTAAAATGGTCTTATTTTAAGATTCTTAATCCATTATCCTTAGCCCCCTTTTTAGGCACAGAGGAGAGATGAGTTGGTCAAAGACCACACCATACCCTCCACAGCATTGCCAGCACGGGAAGGGATAAGAGGCAGAAAAGGTTGATGGAATCTTAGCTAGACCCCCAAAGAGCTAGAAGTAGAAGAAGCAATGGAGCAATACCACCCACTACTCCCCAGGCCAAGGGCACCCACTGTCAACACTCCTCCCCTATATGAAAGTCATGCAAAAATATGAGTTGGAGAAGACATTATGCAAGCCCATTTTCTACAACATGCTTCCCCTAACAAAAGGACCAGAATTTAAGAATGCCTTGGACCAACATGTGTTAATTGACACAGTACATTTTTTTAAATCCATAAGGCAAAGAAAACAGAGATAGTTGGATGAAAATTTCTTTTTTGAAATTATGCTATTTTTGCATTAATTGGTGTACCTGTTCCTTCTAGTGTTAATAAATATCATGTGCTCAGGTAACAAGCAAATTCATTTTGATTTCATGTTTTCATGTGACACAGATCTTCTTCACTCCACCCATTTCAGAGGGACAGCTAATGCTGGGAATATTCTGACTTCTCAGCCTACAAGTTTTAAAACATTAATACTTACGATCAAGAGGGACTTCCAGGGCATTCATCACCTGGCACAGGAAGAGAATCAAAGGAGCTCGGCATACAGATAAGCTTTTCTTTGGGGGCATGATTTTAAGCTGCTTTAGCTTAATTCCTGCTGAGACAGGCAAACTGAATTTCCTTTCCTTGTTGCCACAACGGATCCGTGGGCAGTGCTTAAGTAAGTGTCTTGCAGGGGACTGGAAGAGAAGGATAAAAGGCGAATGTAATAATGTATTAATATGATTGAAATCAGCAGTAGAATTTCAAAGCTCAAAATATAGTTTTTATACTATACATGAAGTCTGAGTAGCCAACTTTTGTGTATTTAACTGTGAATGAAAGTCTTAAAAAACCCTTAATTTCTGTAGTTTATTGTATCTGTCTGTGTAACACAACATTTCCAATCTTTATCATCATGATTATTTCATTTAAAGACTTGTGTTACAAGTGCCTTTGGATATTACTGTGTTTTCTGTTTGGTTCAGAAAGCCCTAGGTCTAAAAAATAGCAGAAAGCAGTGTTTCTACAATCTAGAGGGAAGAGAGAACAAGACAATCTACCTCCAGACTCTAGACATATTCACTGACTGTTCCCCATGCCTGGATTACTCTTTCTCCTCATCCCCACCCTCCTGTCTTCCCTGGCTTCATTTGAGACCTGGCTAAAAATCCTACCTTCTATAGAAAGCCTTTCCTGAACTCTTATTGCTAGTGCTTTCACTCTATTGATTATTTCTACTTTATCCTGTCTGTAGCTTGGTTGCACAGTTGTTTTCATTTTGACTTCTCCTTTAGATGAGATGAGCACCTTAAAATCAGGAATTATTTTTTGCCTTACTTTGTAGCCCCAGTGGCTGGCACATAGTAGGCACTTAATAAATGCTTATTAACTGACTGAATACGCTAAAATTTCCCTCAAAATAGAAAACTTTGATTCAGATTACAACATACTGATTTACCATTCTAGTTCAGCCCCTTGATACCTTTTGCCTGAGCCATTGTAATAGACCTCTCTGCTTCAGATCTGTCTGCATGACAATGTGTATCATACACTATTATCAGATTGCTCTGTCTAATGCATAGAACCATATACTTTTCCATTTCCTTGTTCCAAAACCTTCAATTGGTACACAATGACTACTGAATAAATTAGAAAGTCGTTAAAGTAGAATTCAAGAATTCCCCTTCCATCATTTGACTGCTGAACCTTCTCTCCCTCCATTCCCTCACATGATAGCCAGCACTTAACGTGAAGGTTTGCAAAGTGCTTTTATAAATATTATCTCACTTGATCCTCACAATAACTAGAGGAGGTAGGTGCTATTATGCCTTTTTTACAAATTAGGCAACTGAGACAAGCAGATATTAAATGACTTGCCTATGGGTCTCACAGGAGTAAACGTCTGAGGCCAGGTTGGAACTCAAGTCTTTCTGGCTCTGGGCTCAATGCTCTATCTATTTCAACACCTAGTTGCTTGTGTTCTAACTACTTGGACTCTTCATTTAACTGAACTCTTGATTACTGGTCCAGTATTATAGTACCAATCATAATGATTTTTTTCCCTGCTTCAATGCAGAACAGTATAAACAACCTAATGGGTGATGAAAAAGGTCTTATAGCAGTTCAGAAAAACTTGCCTCAGTAGAATGTAGCCTCCTCGAGAATAGGTACAGTTTTGTTCTTGGCTGTCAATGTCTAGCATAGTTAGACTTATAGGCTTATAGGTTTAGAGGTAGAAGAGACCTCAAAGGTCATCAAGTCAAGTGGTGTCAAACACAAATAAAAATGGGGCCACTGAATTATATATAAGGATCCTTGTGGACTGTATATTGACTTAGAAAACTACAAATTAACATTATCTGTGTATTACTGTATTTTTACTTATTCTGTTAAATATTCCCCTATGGGCCACACTCAGGCTATATATGGGGGACCCATGTTTGACACCTCTGATCTAGTTCAACCTTTTCACCTTAACAGCTGGGTGTTAAGGAACTTGCCAAAGACTTAAAATATGTTTAATTGAATTGAGAAGAGAGAGAGCAGGAGTTGCAGTGTGCAGGATGTCCTTAGGGATCTCTGAACTTGGAGCTAGAAATTACCTTAGAGGTGATCTAGTTCAAGTTTGCTCATTTTACAAATGTCGTTTGTAAGCTATGACACCTATCTCTAATCCAGTACTTTTCTCACTAAACTAGGCTACTTCTTTCAAGGCCCTAGTCTGAAGCACAGGGAGGATTTGGCTAGATGATCTATCTATATATATATATATATATGTTCATCATAAATAATATACAAACTAGCTTTTACATTTTGAATGAATTGACTTGACTAATCATTAGCCAGTCACTAAGCAGTTTGATTTAACAGAAATCAATTCTGTCAAATAAGTTGAAATATTCTGTGTGTGTGTGTGAGGATAAACATGGCTAACATACACAAATGAAACACACCATTATGTATATTTGCATTGTTAGCACACCTCCTGGCTTCCCTGGATTCCTTCAAGTCCCAGCTAAAATCCCACCTTTATAAAAAAAACCAAAACCAAAAACCAAAAAAAAAAACCCCAAAAACAAAGATTCCTGATTTCCTAGAACAGGGGTGAGGAACCTGCTCTAGAATCTAGGACCTTCCCTCTGTTGATAATCTCTAATTTATCCTGTATATATCTTGTGCATGTGTTGTCTCCCCCATCAAATTGTGAGCTCCCTAAGAGCAAGGACTGTCTTTTACCTTCTCTTTATATCTCTAATGCTTAGCACAGCGCTCGGCACAAGTAGGTTCTTAATAAGTGACCAACTGACCAAGACTGCTATAGAATACTGCTCAGTTCTAAACAAAGACACTAAGAGGACAAGTACATGAACAATGGCAAGGGAAAAGACCCACACAAACCTTCTAATTTTGCCTAACAAACTTTTCTCATGTATTTTATGTAACATCTAGTGAACTTGCTTTCTTTTCTTTGGGACACAGAAACAGAAACAGCCCAAGGTAACTTCAACATGGAAAACGAGGATGGAATTGTATCAATATATTGCCAAACTAAATCAAAGTCATCTTACATGTTGGCATGTTCAAACTGCATCAAAATTCACTGGGCATCTACAGTTACCCCTTTCACATTGTGACTTTCCCCATCACGGTTTTGATATGTCGCAGGTCAGCATAAGAAATTAAATGGGAATTTTACCGCAGATGACATGTGAAGGCCAATTCAAATTTTACATTAAAGGCGCAGATAGGTGGCACAGCGCATAGCGCACTGGCCCTGGAGTCAAATCTGAGTTCAAATCTGGCCTCAGACACTTGACACTTACTAGCAGTGTGACCCTGCGCAAGTCACTTAACCCCATTGCCTAGCAACAAAAACAAAAAAACAAAAACAAACTTTACAATAAAGAACACTCATAAAAGATAAAGAAAAAATTCAGACTTCTTCTCCAGTAGAAGAAGAGGGCCAAAAAAATTTACCTGGATTCTCCAGATCACAGGGGCATTGTGCCCCTAACTCCTGCAATGTGGAAGAGATAACTGTATATTGCTTGAGCTGATTGATGAAGACACCTCCTAATTTTCCCATTGAAACGCTGATTCTGAATTCAAGCATAAGCTTCAAGGGGGAAGGAGGAGGGGATCAAGCATAGCACAAATTATCTACCTCTGCAGTTTTATCTACAGAAAGTTACATTGGCTGTAAGCATACCATGTGTGTCCAAAGAAAGCAAAACAGATCTAACAGCAGAGAAAAGAAATGGCACTTTAGCTGCTATTTTTGGTTCCTGCCAATGTAGCACTCTTGTTTAAGTGCTTAGGATTGAAAAGAGGTGCTAAAACTCTAAAGCTACAGACCTCCCTGAATTTCTCATATTAAATTGTGTCAATATTAAAAGTTCAGACTGATACATATATACATACGTATTCATACATATATGTAAATATATACATATATATGCCAGCTTCAAAATGTATTGCATTTTTAACTTTCCCTTAACACGTTCACCTCTCCATCTTTTATAATTGAGAAATTAATTTAGTAACTCACAATAGCATTCTTTTAAATTCAATAAACAAAATATGAGAAGATGAATGAATGAAGCAGGTAATTTAAAAAAATCTTAGAAAATTAACAGATTAATAACCTCTCAAATAAACACAAAAGTAGAAATCCTGAAAACCAAAGAAGAGATAAACCTAATTTTAAACAAAATGATGATCAGTTCAATGAGCATTTATTAAATACCTATTCTGTGCAAGGCACTGGGTTAGGTACTGGTCTGTTTTAAATCTACAAAAAAAAAGAGTGATAAATGCACAGTGTTAGTACTAAAAAAAGGCCATCCAGTTCACAACCCTCATTTTTGCTAATCAAGAAACTGAGGCCAAGAGAGATTAAGTGATTTGCCTGAGGTCACACAACTCATTAGTGACTCCTGCATTAGATTCCTGCCTCTTCATCTAAAACCTTTGCTATAATATCTACGTGTTCTTAAAAATAAGAATCTAAAAATTAAAATACGAAATTTAGGATAAGACTCACTTATTGTGACAGATACTAAATTCCCACAATGATGCATTTAAATGAACAAAGATGAGGGGAGGTCTCTCAGTAGTACCATGTTAGCTGCACCATTAGCCATGAAGTGGATCCATTTGTATGCAAACAGAAAGCAAATGCTCAACGCTATCCTCTGACTCCCGTACAGATCATATGAAAAATCACCCACACTCCATGCATCTGTACCATACCTAATTTTTCAGGCTATCAGAGGGTGATACCTGCGGATAGGATTAAGTCCTACGCACTCAATCATAATGAAAAGCCAATATAGCATAGGAAGTTCTGCCTTTCACTCAGTAGGAACGAGGGATGCTTATATCCCTCACAAAGAAAAAGTATTATTTTTATGCATGTATATATTTATTTATTCACATAATATTTATGGAAATGTCTTTTCTCTCCCTATGGGAATTCATCTGCCTTGTACTTCACCTTGGAAATAATGTATGCCTGTATTTAAGTAAAATGAGTTTCAATAAATCATATTAAATTATTTTTTAAAATACCAAAAATGAGTTAATGTGATTTCTGTTTAAAAAAACAATTTCCTTATAAATTAATGTTAAAATCATGCGAGACCTAATACGACATGCAATTTTTAATAAAGCACTTGCCAAAAATATAGATAACATC